AACAGAAAACTTTTTACATGGCATAAAAATACTGTTGTGTATTTGATGATTATAATTTAAAAAATTCCAGAATTCCACCCACTTTTACTATGACTAATTTCCATCAGTTCTACAAACACCTGTAATATTCCAGCCCCAACATCCTGACCTAATATACAGTTTTTCTTAGAGATGGGGAGATAGAGATCCCACCAGGGATGCAGGAAGTGTGGCTGATGACCACCAGGGACTAGTGCCTGCCTCCTGCTTTCTGCTGGAGGGAGAAGTCTGCAGGAGCTTGTGTCCTCCTCACAAAGCTGTCCCCTGAGTGTAGCTGCTGCTGGCGGGGGTTCATGAACTGTCTTGGGTGCCTGCACTGCTTGGGTTGTGAAATTGGCTGGCAGTGAACGCCTCCCTCCCCATGACACACTGGACCTCCTTGGGAAGCTGATGTGCGAGGAGGGAGCTAACCTTTCGTTGTTCAGCCCTGGAATCCCACAGAGCCAACCATGCAGTAGTGCAGCTCAGGAGGACACCAGGCCAGAGGGCAGGCTTGGTCCTGCGGCTGTGAGCTATTTAAACCTTCAGCTCTTCTTCTAATGGTTTCTAAGACACCCAACTACTAAATGCCTGAATTTTTAAACTATTAGTACGAATTTTTCAAACTGGAATGCTTGACTTTTCTTTTTTTTTGAGACAGAGTCTCACTTTTTCACCCCTGATAGAGTGTCTGGGCATCACAGCTCACAGCAATCTCAAACTCGGGCTCAAGCAATTCTCTTGCCTCAGCCTCTCTAGTAGCTGGGACTAAAATGCCTGGCTATTTATTTATTTTGTTTTAGCAGGCCCAGGCTGGGTCTGAACCAGCCCCGGTGTATGTGGCCAGTGCCCTAACCAGTGAGCTACAGGCGCCAGCCAATGTTTGACCTTTCATTATACAGTGGAATATATTTTTCAAACATAAAGATGGGAGGAAAATACTAAGTGTGTCTTTACATTTGAAAGGAAGAAAGACCATGTTGACAATATAAAAACATTTATAATCATCTACATCTCCATTTTTAGTTGTACAGTTAATTTAGAAAATAAGTATTTTTTGGTTTTTTTTTGAGATAGAGCCTCAAGCTGTCACCCTGGGCAGAGTACTGTGGCACCACAGCTCACAGCAACCTCCAATTCCTGGGTTCAAGTGATTCTCCTGCCTCTGCCTCCCAAGTAGCTGGGACTACAGGCGCCTGCCACAACGTGGGGCTATTTTTTTGTTGCAGCCATCATTCTTGTTTTTGGTGGGCCCGGGCTGGATTTGAACCGGCCAGCTCAGGTGTATGCGGCTGGCACCTTAGCCACTTGGGCCATAGGCGCCAAGCCTAAAAAATAAGGTTTTGGGGCAGCGCCCCATATGCTGCAGGCGACAGGTTCAAACCCAGCCCTGGCCAAAAACTGCAAAAAAAAAAAAAAAAAAAAACCCACAAAAGTGTTTGTTCCTAATAACATGAGAATTTTCTGGCATTATTTTCCCTCTAGATATAGGAGTTAGCTCTGGCTCATTATCAATGACTCTTCAAGGAGGAAACAAATGAAAAATCTGACTCTTCTGTCATTTAGGTAATGGACATTGGGAACATACATTTTGGAAAGAGTGGTAAGGATATGGTCATTATCTGACTGAATCAACTGCGGGTCTGCAGAGTTGCCACCCCCACTGCCTGGGTTGCACAGCGGTGGCTTCTTGAACAGGTATCATAATTCTGACAAAAGCTTCAATTGCATGACTTGTTTTTTTAGTTTTTACCAGTATTTTAAAACTTTACTGGGAGAAGTCAGAGGGTATCAAGGAAGAAGGAATTGTTTTTTTTCTTTTTGAGACAGAGTCTCACTTTGTTGCCCTCAGTAGAGTGTTGTAGCATCATAGCTCATAGCAACCTCAAATTCTTGGGCTCAAGAGATCTTCTTGCCTCAGATTTTCTATTTTTAGTAGAGATGGGGTCTCCTTTTTGCTCAGGCTGGTCTTGAACTCATGAGCTCAAGCAGTAAACCTGCCTTGGCCTCCCAGAGTGTTAGGATTACAGGTGTGAGCCACCTGCCTGGCTGGAAGGAATTGTTACGCACCCCATGCGCATCTGTCCCCCCACATCGTGGCCAATCTCCTCTCCTCTGTTCACTCCATCCAGCAGCCCACTTGCCGGGTGACATCTGCTGGTGCACTGTGAAGCCCCTCCAGGATATCACCTCATGCCTAGGCAATAGCATCTGCATTTCTAAAACCAAAGACATTTTCCATTATGTCATTATTGTGGTACTGAATAACCTAATGAAATCAATTCTCTGATGTCACTTGATACTCCATGTAAAAAATCTCTCTAAACATATCAGAAAATGCCTTTTTATGCCTGGTTTGTCTGAAGGACCTATGCCATGTGCATGTGTCAGTTTGCTGAGCAGGTGCCAAGCATCTGACTCGTGGGCCCCAGGTGTGGTGAGCCCTCACGCTGGTGCCCCTTCTGCCCACCTGCAGTGGCACAGACCATCCTGCTGTGTGTTCTGCCAAGCACTGACATCATCTGTTAGCCTGTTCTCTAGACTCGGGGCTTCCAGAGTAGGGGGCAGAGTGCTGGCCATCATTGGGCCCACATAGATGATGCAGCCATCTCTAGCCAGACCACAGTCCAAGCCCTGATTCCAAAGCCAGATGGTCAGGTTCTGAATCCTGGTCTACCAGTTAACTAGCTATTTTATCAACCAGGCAGTCATCCTCTAATGCAAGCTCATTATCCTGTCTGGGCCCCTATGAAATTTTTATTCCCAATAAATGAGAATTGGGCTGTGAAATGGGCTCCAGCATGAGCACAGTGGGCATTGTGCAGCCCAGTGAACCAATGGCAAGGCAGCAGGTTACAGTAGCAGCTCAGCAGCTCCATGCTCTGGAGACATAGTTCTACCAGGGCAGCAGGAACCACGCACCCCAGGGTGTGCACGTACCCCTGGGCCATACAGTGACAGGCAAAAGGAGACACAAAGCCTCCTCCCAGAGGCTGGCTGGCAGTTAAGGTAGTGTTTTGTTTAAAACCATCTTCATCTTCAGTTGCCTGTCTTGTTCTCCCTGCCTGTAAGTTTTTACTTGTAGCACTTTTGAAAGCACCAGAGTAAGAAAGGGATGAATATGTGGGTTTCTTTGAAATTCCTGAAACTACCCGTTCCCTTACCCTCTCTGCTTCTGAACTCTGTGTGTACCTTTTATTGGCTGCTGGCTGCCCCCACTGGGAAGCCACAGGTGACAATCTTCTGGTGGCAAGGTCTGCTGCCAACCTGCTCTTGGTAGGTGAACTGGGTGTTTCCAAAACCCTGAAGGATTTAGAATGTGAAGTGGATTCTGGGATAGGAAATACAATTTCTTACTCTCTCATTAGCTCCACACAGACACGGTGGGGTCACAAAGATCTTTTTTTACAAGAGAATTTTTCTTCACTCTGAGGAACTCTCAGGTAGAGGAGGGAGAAGAGAACAGCCCAGCCCTGTGAGGAGGCACTCCCCTTCCTGCGGCTTCAGGGGCAGCTGAATGAGTTCAGACTCTCGGGTCCAAGTCCTGGCCCCAGCACTTGCCAGCCTTGACATCTTTGCCACATTACTGCCTCTAGCCTCAGTTCCCTCTCTGGACCACAGGACTGTGTTGGTGCCTAATTAGGTCCTAGGACTAAATGCACTAAGATGAACGGCACAGGGCTGGAGGCTGGGACAGACCACAAGGAATGGCCGCCATTGATGCAGTGGATGTAAGGGCTGCGGGGGTATCAAGGCAGAGCTGGGTGCCTGACCTTTGTATTATCAGCAGTTTTCCTGGGCATCGGCTCCTTCCCAGACCAGTGGAATCACAAATGCTTGGGCCCAGTGGTCCTAACGCACTCCAAAGCTTGAACAGCGGTGTAGACTGAGTGTTTGTTTACCACAGTGCCAATTCTTCTTCTACAGGTATAAGAGAAGAAAATGTGTAACGGGGACAGTAAGTATGCCAGAGGGGGTGGCTCATGCTTGTAATCCCAATGTCTTGGGAGGCTGAGGCAGGAGGACTGGTTAGGTTAGGAGGTGGAGAACAACCTGGGCAACAGAGTGAGACCCAGTCTTTTTTTTTTTAAGTGACTGTGTCAGAACTGAACTCTCTGAATCTCACACAATCCAACAGTGACTTCCACTGGTGCTGTCTAATGTTTTCATGCAAACTTCTGAGTCTAGCATCCTTGAGGCTGCTACTGAGGTAGACGAAGGTGGATTTTATCTCCATCTTACAAAAGAAAATGAAACTCACAGACATCTCACATTAAGTGGTTGTCAGGTACCTGCCATGGGCCAGCCCTGATGCTAAATGATGGAGACACAGAGGAGAAACAGGTGCCTCTGCCCTCAAGAGGACAGGACAGCCAGATTGGGCCATCATTTCTATTCCACAGCTGGACTCCCACTAAACTGCTGAGTACCACATTTCAAACTGGATTTACTTCTACACTTGCTTGCTGCATGCAATTCTCCATCTGCCTTAGATGGAGCTAAATATTAGGCAGTGTTCATCTAATGTTAGCCTCACTGAAAGAAATATCAATTGGCTGTTTTTACAATATATACTTTGCCTTTTAAGTGATTATTTACTGGTAACATTTTCTCCTAAAGCCTGTAATTTTACCCACCATGTGCTCTAATGCTACCTATTCCTATAGCATGTTAAGGTCTGAATGAGGCTTCCCTATCCCCCACTGACCCTGCTAACTCTTAGAGCTTACATAACATTCCAGATGAGAAGACAGAGGCTCAGACAGGCACAAGTAGCAGAATCATGCTTACCAAACATTTACTAAGAGCACAGCCTGGGTGTCTAGATCCTGATCCTTAACTCTGGTGACAACTGAGATATTAACACTTATGTTCCTTGGGGTTTGAGATTCTGGTTTCATCTGGTGCATTACAAATGATCTACTGAACATTCCTGGCACACAGGATAGAGCTGAGTGGGGACACACTGAAAGCAGTCCAGGTGTGGTGCATCACACAGACACATTTATTCATGCCATGAGTAAACGGTACTTATACAAGGGACAGTCCATGTTCCCATGTGACACAGTTTGCTTAGCTCTATGGGCAGACTGATGGTCCATCTCTTGTGCACTCCAAGTGAGGCTGGTTAGTGGTGACCATGAGCAGGTGCAGGAGCTTTTGAAAGAGATGTAGGATACAGATACAATTCAGAAAGGAGCAAAGACAGTATCAACAAATGATATTTTTTGATACTATAAAAAAGTATGGAGGATTCTTTCTATACAGAACCCCTGTAGGGGTGGAAATGAGAAAGGGAGAAAAACATCTCCTCCTCAAAGCCAGTGCTGGGTCTGTGTAGGACTCATCTGACTAAAGTTCCATTGTCACTGGTGAAACAAAGCTATGAAGTGTCCAGCTCCAAGGCTTATACTTCTAAGGTGCTTTCTTTTAAACATATTAAAACATGCATTAGGGAAATTTCCAGGCCAGTGTGTCTGCACAGTTAACTATGGTTCCCTGTTGGTGGCATAAGTAATCTGTTTTTTTACTTTTCTTGGAAGTTTTACTTGACCTGAGAAGGTGAGCAATGGTCTTTAACATTTAGACTATAAAAAGGAGAAATTCAGAACTCTCTTTTCTGGCAGGCACAGCAAACTTCCTGTTCTGAAGTGTCTCCACTGCATCTTATATAGTTACTGAGCCATGCTATCAACTTCAGTTCAGAACAATGCCCTGTCCTGAAAACACAGGATGGGGGTTTTCTTCCCCAACCATTTGAAGAAGCAAAAAACTTACCTTTCAAAGCTTTACTTCTTTTATCTAAAATGAAAGAAATATTTGGTCATAATAATGCTTTACCAAAATGCCTTTGCCAAAATTAACATTTGGCTGAAGGCTTTATAGCTTAAGCAACTACAGGAAGAAAATAGGAAGGTCACCACTGCGGGCTCACAGCAAAGAAATTTTTCCCGAGATGTTCTATAGACAGCAAAGAACCCTTCCAAATCTGCGGGCCTTTTACTCCCTACCACATCCCACACTCTAGTGTTGCAGTTTAAAGTTTTCTTCTTTCTTTCTTCTTTTTAATCAATGGCTTAGTAATATGTGACTGGGCCACATTGTTATTCTCCCCCCCCCCCGATGTTATTGTGAAAAATTTCAAATATTCAGAACTGTTGAAAAAGTACAGTAAAACAGCACATACCGTGACACTATACTCCTAAACATTTTAGTCTTCATCTCTCAAATGAAGAACACCTCCTTTGTATTTGTAATATCACCACCACACTTAAGAAAATTCACAATTCTCTGATTCTAAAGTCTTGTTCACTTTCTCTAACTGTCCCCAGATCCCTCTGAGGCTGACACATGCTCCCTGTATGCTCACTAGGTGCTGTGGGCAGTTCTGATGTCCATTCCTAGTTAAGAACCATGGCTCCCGGAATGTTTTCTTCCTGACCACGAATGAAGAAATTACCAGCACTCCTGATTTTATAAATAATGAAGCTCATCAATCCCATTCCCATCCAGATCTCCTGGTAAACTTCGGTATAGTAAGGTTTCATGGGGACCCATACATTTTTAATAAAGCTTTGAAGCATCTGAAAATGAACATAGTAATAAAATTATGATGACCTAAACTTAACTGGTAAAGTTTTCATTTTTTAAGATCAGTGTATTTCCCTTTACTATTCAACAGGAAGCCTCACCTGTGCTAGACCTACTCGCATACGGGGGCTCCTGGTCATCACTCATTCCTCAGGACCCAGAGCTTATCTAGCCCATGCCCACTCCCTGAGGCCATCCTCACTAATGTCGTGCCACCAAAGGCACTTTCAAATGGAAAAACCAGTATGTTCTCATCATCATGTTAAGAACTATTGGCCTTCAAAGCTGAAGAAAGGACAGAGGGCATAATGATTTCCTTGTGAAACAACAGTCTGCACTTGGGCATGCTTTGATCACCTGTGTCTCATTCTCAAGTCCACTGCTAAATACAAAAACAGATGGTGTGAGGTCACTTCATAAGAGCTGCCATTTAGAACTTATTTAATAAGATAATTATTGAAGGCTCAGCGCCCATAGCACAGTGGTTATGGTGCTGGCCACATGCACTGAGGCTGACGGGTTCAAACCCAGCCTGGGCCTGCTAAACAATGACAACTACAACCGAAAAATAGCCAGGCATTGTAGCAGGTGCCTGTATTAGGAAAAGCAACTAAATTCTAAACTTATTTTGCTTTTAAGTGTAGGTCTCAAAGTAACACTTTTGATTACTTTTACAATTTACCACAGACCCCAAATCAGATGCCTTCATCTTTATTTCAATAGGCTTTGTAACATCTGAAGTGGTCCATTAAACTAGAGTCACTCAAATAGTTGTCTGGAATGACTACATCTAAGCACCTCTCATTTTACTTGGAAGATGCTTTAGCTAACAGTGCCAAGTAAGAATTAAGTAAACAACCACGGGTGGTAAAGACAGACCTACAAATGCCCAGCTGCTGACAGTCACACTAGGCCACTGAGCCTTGAAAAGGATATCTTAAAAAGATGCTGATGTCCCCGTATAGACCAGGCAGGGCTTTCAGACAGAGGAATGTCAGAAGAGGGTCTAGAACAGCCATTCTCAACCTGGGGTCACGACCCAAAGGAACAGTATTAAAGGGCCGCAGCATGAGGAAGGTTGAGAATCACCGATGCAGAAGAAAAAGGGTGAAGTAAACCCAGAGGGTGAGACTAAAGAAACATCAGTTACCCAGTTTTTTTTTTTTTTTTTTTTTAGAGACAGAGTCTTATTTTGTCCCCCCTCAGTAGAATGCCATGGCAACACAGCTCACAGCAACCTCCAACTCCTGGGCTTAGGTGATTCTCTTGCCTCAGCCTCCAGAGTACCTGGGACCACAGGCGCCTGCTAAAACGCCTGGCTATTTTTTTGTTGCAGTTGGCCCGGCCAGGTTTGAATTGATATACGGGCCGGTGGCCCTACCCACTGAGCCACAGGTGCTGCCCAGTTACCCAGTATTTTGATACTGAGCTCCTGGCCCAGGCGTCCTGGGACTGCTTCTTTATCCAACATTCCCTTTAGTGTCCTGTAAAGTAGGGACCTGTTATATTGCAAACAATATTACAATATATTACAGTTGTTATATTACACTATTTTGCAAATACTTAACTTTCCCTCTTCCTTTTTCCTGACTTTCCTTTTAGCCAGAGCTGTCATATTTGGATGGAAAAGTGACATGTTCCCAATATTTAGTAAAATAAGGGCCCCTACTTCTTTCACTTGAATCCATTCTGATTGGCTACACTTTCCAGCTCGCATCAGTTTTACAGCACATCCTATTCAAAAGCCAAACGGGTCTGCTGTCTTCCTTAAGTTTTCAAATTTTGACACATTAAATTAGGAACAGACTATTACTCTACCATACACTGGCAATGGGAAATGTCTGCCTGGTTAAGAGACATACTGAGATTTAGTCTGTGTTCCATACATTTTTTTTTTCTTTGTTGAGACAAGAGTCTCACTTTGTCGCCCTGGGTAGAGTGGCGTCACAGCTCACAGCAACCTCAAACTCTTGGGCTCAAGCGATTCTCTTGCTTCAGCCTCCCGAGTAGCTGGGACTACAGGCGCCCGCCACAACGCCTGGCTAGTTTTAGAGACAAGGTCTCACTCTGGCTCAGGTCAGGCTGGTCTCGAATCTGAGCTCAGGCAATCCTGCCTCGGCCTTCCAAAGTGCCAGGATTAAGGCGAGAGCCACCGCGCCCGACCCTGAGTTCCACACAATTTTGATCGTCGCCATTTGCTTTCGTTTGGTGCCCCTTTCCCCCCTCTCCCAAGACTTTGCCAAATGTACAACAGAACTTGTAGGATAACTGTGTTGCAAGAAAACTTGACATATGAGAGACGGCACTAGAGAGAAATCCTGGCTGCATAAGCTCGGCAGGCCACTGTGCGCTCCTGGTCAAAAGCGCACCACAGGTACATGCAGTGCGTCAAGGCCGTAAGCGCAGACCCAGGCAACACGTCTTACCAGCAGCTGGTCCCTGGTCTACCTCCCTTTACAAACCTCCCACACAGAGCAGGCGTGGGCGGGCGGAGGGCTGCACCCAAGGTCAGCGGGAACCAAGGAGGCCTGAGCCCCACGCCGTTCACCGGCCTTCTCCCTGCCTGGTCCGGGCTCGTCTAAACCCAGCCAGTCGGAACTAGGTCCCCCAACTCACCTCGGCGCCAAAGTAACGGCAGGACCCGGCAGAGACCCACAGGCAGAGACTGGTAAAAGGTCACCGTGTGCGCAGGCGCTGCGCGGAGGTTGCCGGGAAGGCGGAAGGAACAGCGACGCCCAAGGACAGAGCGCCTTCTAGGCCGCGCCTGCGCGCCACAGCGCCCCCGGCGGCCGGTCCGGTGCCGCTAGCAAGAAAGTTGTCCCAAGAGGATTACCCTTGCGCTCCACTGTACGCTGTTCGGATAGCCCAGTACCAGGAGGTGAAAGTGTCCAGCTTTGAGGAGTTCATCCAGGCTGTGGAGGAGCACAATGGGAAGACCATTTTCGCCTACTTTACCGGTTCTAAGGACGCCGAAGGGAAAAGCTGGTGTCTCGACTGTGCGCAGGCTGAACCAGTCATTGGAGAGGGGCTAAAGCATATTAGTGAAGGGTGTGTGTTCATCTATTGTCAAGTAGGAGAAAAACCTTATTGGAAAGATCCAAACAATGACTTCAGGAAAAAACTGAAAGTAACTGCAGTGCCTACACTACTTAAATACAGAACACCTCAAAAACTGGTAGAATCTGAGTGTTTTCAAGCCAGCCTTGTGGAGATGTTGTTCTCTGAAGATTAAGATTTAATGATGGCAGTCATGTCTTGATTTGTGCTAGTATTAAAAGAAATGCACACTTCCTTTGAATTCATGTTAGCTATAAATATGTGATTATGCTAAAAATTGGTATATGCTTAAAACAATGGAGTGATATTAAAAATGCTCATGAACGTAAAATAAAAAAAAAAGAACGTTGTCCCGTTGCTGAAGGCCGGCGAGCCCCCAGGAGGAGCTAGGAGGGGGAACACCTGGACGGCTGTCACTATAGGGCTCCTCCGGGTCCAGATTCTCTCTGGATTGTCGGGTTTTCAGGGATGCAGAGCTTTCGTTGCTGAAACCCGGCAAGTTCTAGACAAGCCCGACGGGTTGGTCAACCTAAAAGGGACTCTCTTTCCTTGATAAGTCAGAGAAGTCAAGTCTCCCCCATCTCAGTGCTGTGTCTTGCCACCACTCTTTGCATTGCTGTTTTGCTCTGCATATTTTATGCGTCTATTCTGTGCATATTCTCGACTGACGATATAAAGCTTCATAGTGGCGCCTAAGAGACACAGTCTTTAAAAATAACCTTGCTTGGCTCGGCTCCTGTGGCTCAGGTGGCTAGGGCGCCAGCCACGTACACCCAAGGTAGCGGGTTCAATCCAGCCTGGGCCCGCCAAACAACAATGACGGCTGCAACCAAAAAATGGCCGGGCGTTGTGGTGGACGCCTGTGGTCCCAGCTGCTTGGGAGGCGGAGGCAGAGACTCGCTTGAGCCCAGGAGTTGGAGGTTGCTGTAAGCTGAGATGCCACGGCACTCTGCCCAGGGGGACAGCTTGAGGCTCCTGTCTCAAAAAAAAAAAAAATAATCTTGCTTACTATGTTTAAGGAAATAAAGGGAAAAAATGATGTTTTGGCGTCCATAGCTCAGTGGTTGTGGTGTGGGCCACATACACCGACGCTGGTGAGTTTGAACCCGGACCAGCTAAACAACAACGACAACTGCAACAACAAAAAAATAGCCAGGCGTTGTTGAGGGCGCCTGTAGTCCCAGCTGCTCTGAAGGCTGAGGCAAGAGAATCACTTAAGCCCAAGAATTTGAGGTTGCTGTGAGCTGTGGCATTCTACCGAGTGTGACAAAGTGAGAGTCTGTCTCAAAAAAAAAAAAAAAAAATTGAAAATTTCAGCAGAAAAGTAGAAATCGTATAGAACAAAACCACTTAGCTGATTTAAAAGTAGCCAAATAAAAATTGGATGGGTACTGCAGAAGATTAGACAAGTAGAACGGAACTGCAAGATAGATCAGAAGAAACCATTCAGAAACATGGAGGGTTACAGGAAGAAAGTCCAAGTGGATAATTAGAGCCTTAAAAGGAAAGGAAGAGAGGTGTGGCAGAAATATTTGAAGAGGTAATGGCTGAATGAGAATTTTTCAAAAGTGATTAACAAAACTACACACCAAAGATTCAAAAGCCTTTTAGAAACTAAGCAGGGAGATAAATGAAAATAAATCAACACCTTGAAACCTCACAATAATAGCATAGAAAACTGAATGGGTAGGTGGCTTATCCTGTTATCTCATCAATCTGGGAGGCTGAGGTGAGTGGATTGAGCTCAGGAGTTCAAGACCAGCCTGAGCAAGAGCAAGACCCCACCGCTACTAAAAACAGAAAAACTAACTGGGCATGGTGGTGGGAGCCAGAGTGCTTCTCAGTAGCACCTACGTCACTTGTAAGTGCCCTCAGCTGTTTCTCTTTCCCTTGGGCTGCAGCTCAGCTGCTTGGTGAAGGCAAAAATGCAGAACATCCCCCAAATACCAAGGCCCCATGTGCTCTGGCCTATGTGTAGACAAGCCTATTAAGAACTGTCCATGCCAAGCTGTCCCTTTTTAACTCTGAGCTTTGTGGACAGGAATACAAGATGATCTGGGCAGAGTAAGTTGCTACTCAATCAAATGAAGGGACCCCACAGCCTTTCAGTTTGTAAGGACACAGAATGTTACCCTAGTGTTTAGTGAGGAAAATGTGAACTAATTTCCTAATGAAGAAGATGCTGTCCTTAAGACTGCAGGTAAAAACTCACACTCCTGAAAGAATTAGGTAGTAATCCAAAAAGATCAAAGACAGAAAATGCCCCATGCACCATCGTCAAGTGTGATAATCCTTACTGGTTCTTCCTCTTGGAAGGCATGATCTGTGATTATACATCTCTGTGTAATCAGGGTTTGCAATACCATGATTGTTCCTATCTGATCCTCCCTAAAATTAAAAAAAGAAAAAGAAAAAGCCTCCCAGAAAATGTTTGCATGAAAAGTGACAAGAACGGCAGGTACCTTCCACTTAAACATTTACTGACTGTGATGTTGAGGAAGGATGATAGTACATGCAAACAGTGACATTAGGAAAGATAAATCTGAGTTCTGGAGTTGTTTCTAGTGGTTTTAATAAATCTTGTGGGGTGGCGCCTGTGGCTCAGTGAGTAGGGCGGGTGGCTGGTTCAAACTTGGCCCCCGGGGCAAAACTGCAACAAAAAATAACCAGGTGTTGTGGCAGGTGCGTGAAGTCCCAGCTACTCGGAGGCTGAGGCAAGTGAATTGCCTAAGCCCATGAGCTGGAGGTTGCTGTGAGCTGTGATGCCACCTCACTCTACTGAGGGCAAGGAAGTTAGACTCTGTCTCTAAAACAAACAAACAAACAAACAAAAAACCCCACAAATAATAAAAAGAAAATCTTGTAAAGTTTAGAATTATGTCCTGGCCTTCACATAAAGTCTGAAGTTGCAATATTTTCCAATCAGTGCCAAGTGACATACCATGAGTCTCAATGAGTTTATTATTACCCTTCTTATTGATTGAAAAACAAGCTCTTTTTCCCTGCCAAAAAGTGTGTTGGGGACTTTTTTTGAGATAAGAGTCTTCTGCTATTGCTCTGGCTAGTGACATCATCGTAGCTCACAGCAACTTCAGACTCCTGGGAGCAAGTGATCCTCCTGCCTCAGCCTCTGAGTAGCTGGGATATAAGTGTGCAGCACCTCCACACCCAACTAATTTTTGTTTTTTGAGACACAGTCTCACTCTGTTGCCCAGGCAAGAGTACAGTGGCACCATGGCTTACCTCAAACCCTTAGGCTCAAGTGAGTCTCTAGTCTCAGCTTTCTGGGTAGCTGGGATAACAGGTTCTGGCCTTAAAACTCGGCTAATTTTTCTATTTTTAGTAGAGATGGGGTCTTGCTCTTTTCTTGCTCAGGCTGGTCTTAAACTACTGAGCTCAAGTGATCTTCCTGACTTGTCCCCCAGAATGCTAGGATTACAGGCATGAGCTACTGTGTGCCTCTTGGGGACACTTTTTAGAGGCTGTAGTACAGAGGTCCTCAAACTTTTTAAACAGGGGGCCAGTTCACTGTCCCTCAGACCGTTGGAGGGCCGGACTGCAGGTCCTGGGACTAGTTGGCTGCTAAGCAGGACAGGCAGTGGTGGTGGGCCAGATAAATGTCCTAGGTGGGCTGCATGTGGCCTAGCAGGCATTCAGTTTGAGAATGCCTGAGGTAGTATTTGGAAAAGTCAGACTGTGAGGCCCAAGGCCCATTATGGTAGTCTGGAGGAGTGTGTGTGTGTGTGAGGATTTGGAACCAGGACTCCTGGCTTAGTATCATACTGGGTTCTTTTTTTTTTTTTTTTTTTTGAGGCAGAGTCTAAAGTTGTTGCCCTGGGTAAAGTGCCGTATCATCACAACTCACAGTAACCTTGGGGTCTTGGGCTTAAGCGATTCTCTCCCCTTAGCCTCCCAAGTAGCTAGGACTACAGGCTCCCACCACGCCTGGCTCTTTTTGTTGTTGTTGTTGTTGTTGTTGTTGCAGTTGTCGTTGTTTTAGCTGGCGGAGGCTGGGTTCAAACCCCCCAGCCTCAGCATATGGGGCTGACGCTCTATCCACAAGCTATAGGCGCTGCCCTGGGTTCATTTTTTGAGATACCACTAGCTCAACCCTACATGGTCTGACTTCTATCTGCACTGTGTTCCAGTTGTGCTCTTCTTTGCCACTGTATTAGACATTTTCCAGTCTTTAACTGCTTGGGCTTCACGTGTTGATTAGGGCCATGCTCCTGACACCCTTTCTGTACTCATTCACCTGGCTCTTTCCTGAGAGCCCACACGTGCCAAACACTGCCCTCAGCACTGAGGACAGGAAGTCCTATCTCTTCTGATCCTCCCTGTTGTATTCTTTGCTGGATTTTTTCCCTCCACTCCTTCTCTCAGGGTGTTTGCTAGGGTTATGGTTTCTACCCATTTTGTTTTGGAGATAGGCTTGTTCTGTTACCCAGGGTGAAGTGCAGTAGCACAGTCATAGCTCAGGGTAGCCTCCAAACCCTGTGAACAAGCCATTCTCCTCCCCTAGCCTCTGAGTAGCCAAGACTCAGGGGTCCCCACATCCGAAATTATTTCTTGTAGACATGGAGTCTTGAACTCCTGCCTCAGCCTCCCAAGGTGCTGGGACCACAGATGTGAGCCAGGTTCTCAGTCTCTGCGTTTTAACCACCGTTTGCTGAAGACCTTCACATCTGTGCCACTTGCCCACACCTGTTTTGGTCTAGCTGCGTGTTGACACTGCCTCCTGAGATGCAGGTTACCTTCGGGCTCTTAAGAACTTCTTCCACGTGCTCACTTCAGACCCCAGCGCTGCCTGCCCACTGGCCGCAGGCCCCCCATCGCTGTCATCCCCAGAGCTCCCTGCCCGGTTTCCTTTAGGACCCTATCCTTAGCAGGTCCTCCTTGGAGTCATTTCCTCCAAGCAGACTTCCCTGATCTCCTTGCTCCTCTGCTCCCAAATTGGGTGCAGGGATGCCGTGCTTGGCAGCCGAGCGCCCCCACAGTATAGCACAAGCTCTGGGGGGGGGGTGTCGCCCTCTGCCCCCACCTCTCTGCGCTGGGCCCAGCACTCAGCAGGTGCTCGAGCGTGTGTCCCTGGTCACCTGAAGTGCACAGGCCTCACACGCAGAGGACAAGGAGTGGTTCGAGGCCTATTTGTTGGGTGCCCAAATGCGGGGGTGGGGTGGGGGTCGAGGGCAGGGCGGCTCCCAGCAAGCCTTGCGGGGCAGCGAGGGGTGGGTGTGGTGTGAGCAGCGGCTCTGGCTCCCGGCAGGCCTCACGCGGCAGGGCAGGGTCGAGAGCACGAGGCCGGTAGCGTGGGTTACACGTGCTGGGATGGGGTCCGCCCCGCTACGCGGCACGTCCTGATTGGACGGCCTCCAGCGGGAGGGGCTGCGGGCTGCTGGCAGCGGTCCTCCGTCCGCTGTAGTCTGTTCTCGCCGCTGCTGCTAGGCGGTTGAGGGGGTGCGGGAGCTCGGACTTCAAGCATGCTTCGTAAACTCACCCTTGACCAGATCAACGACTGGTTCACCATCGGCAAGACCGTGACGAATGTGGAACTGCTGGGCTCGCCGCCTGCTTTCCCGGTCGAGGCGGCCCGGGAGGAGGCGCAGCGCAAAGACGCGGCCCCGGGCGCGAGCTCCGCGGCCCAGGCTCAGGCCCAGGCCCAGGCCCAGGCCCCGGCTCTGGTTCTGGCCCCGGCCCCAGCCCCAGTTCCCGCTCCGGCGCGGCCGGCAGCGGCGTTCGGGAGGTAGGAGACAGGCTCGCGGGGAGCAGGTTCGGCCGAGCACGGCGCGCGGGCCTCAAGGGCTGGGCCTGCCCAGACTGGCCCCGCGAGCCGCTGCCGTGCTCAGCTGCTGGGTGGCTGTGGCGGCCGCAAAATAAGGTGTTCCCCAAACGGGCCCAACCCCTGACCTGGAGCGTGCGTGTCTTGTGGTAGTTCATCCCGCAGTTCCCTACAGGATAATTTTTGTTTTTTTTATCTGTAGACTATTTTTTTGAGACAGAGTCTCACTTTGTCACCCTCAGTAGAGTGCTGTATTGTCACAGCTCACAGCAACCTCAAGTTCTTGAACTTAAACGATTCTCTTGCCTCACCTCCCAAGTAGCTGGGACTACAGGCGTCCACCACAACGCCTGGCTATATAATATATATACATACACACACACACTTTTTTGGGGCGGGGGGAGGTTGTAGTTGTTGTTTGACAGGTCCGGACTGGATTCGAACCCTCCTGCTCCGGTGTATGTGGCTTATGCTCTGGCCTCTGAGTTACAGGCGCCGAGCCTATAGACTATTTTTTGAAGATGTTTTACGTTTCTAGAAAAACTGAGCAGAATTAGAGCTCCCCCGTAACCTTGCCATTTCACTGTTAACATCTGCATAAGTTTGGTACCTTTGCTATAGTTGATGAACCAGGATGATACGGTATTACTGAAAGTATATTCACTCTTGGTGTGCATTTATGTGGGTTTGGACAAATGTATGACGACATGCAGCTGCCACTGTATAACGGTATACACGAGAGTTGCACTTCCCTAAAAATCCTTTGTGCTCCATTCCTCCCTCCTCTTACC